ATAGACAACTCTTGACTCTTGGAACTCAGAAGATGGTTGGAAGGATACTGTGGACAAGTGGGCTTGATGTACTTTGACGCTTTTGCCAGCGCAGCATTTCTGGGTGGCATTTTTGAATTGTTGACAGGTGAAAGCTACAATTTTTTGTTCCATGGTCAGTTGACAACTGTTCAAGTCTCGGCTGATATCCCGGCTGTCCCGTTGAAGCCGAGGCCTGGAGATTCAGGCTCTTCGGGAGGAGCTTTATGACTTCAAGTCGGAGGCCGGGCTCTTCGGATGTGGAAACATGTAACGGAGACAAAACCCTGTTCGGATGTGGAAATGTCCAGGGAACATGTCCATCGCGTTTCCAGCCGTGACATCCACCCGTTGGATGGAGCATGGTGGCATGGTGCCTCCGATGGCCGATTGCGTGTCCAGGCAGCGGTACGCTTTGATCTTCCCCTGAAGACTCGGCCCTTTGGCGGAAGGGATGGGCGATCGATGGTGACCGTTTTGACACACACACACACACTCACATCAAGCACCATGGAACCTGCCTGGCCGAACCTGGTTAAGTGGAGGAACATTGTGGACAACCCATTTTTCAACTGCTGTTAGGAGAAACCCCAGGATGAACTTTCCAGATATATCTTTTAACTCACTCACTTCGATCTGCAAGCATTTTACGATTATTTGAATGAGTATATTGAAGGTTCGTACGATCATGATTGTCTATTTATTTGGGCAGTTGTGTGCCGGAAAGGAAGGTAAGGCTTATATCCTTATCAGATCAACAAGACTTGGCTTCCTCCCCTCTAGACCACCGCGATGCTGCAAGTACTTCCTGCAAGTGTTGCAAGCAGAAGACCAGAAGAGCCAGATCATTGCAGAAACAACACAAAGTGCCTCGCCCTGGTGCTTTGCACAGGAGAGTGATGGACAAATGAGTCCTTGTGTAGAGCTCTCCTGAGTTCTCACTGTTCTTCTCAAGCCGTTAATGTCCTTCCACCACATCTATAATAATAGTAGAATATAGTAGATATGCAAACGAATTGAAACGGATTGAAACGGTAGAATCAATAGAATCTAAGATTGGAATGAGATGGAGAGGTCGATCCTCGCCAGAGTGATGACCGGCTTCTCCCAACTGGGAAGGGTTCACTCGAACGTGCCTACGAGTTATGCAAGAAAAGCATGCTTGGAATATGAGGGATGCCTGCAACACATGGTGGTGTTTCTTTCATACCATACGAGACGTTTCTCAACCTGAAACAGGTTCACTTCCCTGCCGGCGGCTGAGTTCTGGACACACTCGGGCACATGAGACGAATATTTTGCTGTCATCATGCGGCTCTTATGTCCAAATGTCCGCCCAAGATGGGAAGCTGCCATTGCAGTAGCTGTGCATTTTTCTGGTTTTCGGGGTCGACCCAACTGATTGGTGGGTGGAATCCTTTTTGCTCAGATCATCCCACCTCGATCCATCCCACTTCGATCCATTCCCACTTTGATTGGTCCCAGATTTTTTCACGTTGCTGAGGCAGGACACCTTAGTCGGAAGGGAAGAAGCTGCCGCCGGAGCCTGAAGCGCCGGCGTTGTGGTGGATAGAGAGGAATCAGGAGAGGCATTGGCAGGTGACTTGGAGCTTGTGAGGTCGCCGTTCTGTGGATATCTTTGGATCATTTTAGATCCTCTTCAACATGTTGAAAGGACATGGGACGGACACCTCACCATTTTGTGAGTTTCATTTTGTAACAAGAAGCTACTAGGGGCTCCTGGCCTTACTACTAGGAGCAAGGACGCTACGAACGGGGCTCCTGGCATCGCTAGGGACGTAACAAGAAGCTACTATGCTGACCCGACCCTCCGTGAGGCCTGGCTTTGCCTTTCCACGAAGCTCTCCGAGTCGGTGTTGGCATCTGGCGTTTCCCAGGATCCTCCCGAGGTCGTGACGGTGGAACGGGTGAGGACCAAGAGCATAGAGCGATCACCCTGCAATGAGGTTATGTGTTTTGGATGAGACATGTCATGTTGATCATGATGAGACTCTGTGGAAAGGCACCTTTACTTGTAGCACCGTTTCTTTTTGTCATCCATGTCCATCCAAAGCAAGGCATTGGGAGTGACGGTATATGTGGAAGCACAGGGCCTCTTCCTAGTGAAAGAGTTTCCTCCGATCATGTTTGCTCTAGAGATATTGACATGGCTGGCTTGGCACTGAAGCTTTCCTTCAATCGGCAAGATCTATTCGCAGCTGGGCTGGCTCGAGGCCCCCCCAAATTTTGGATCGAAGAAGACTGTGCACAGGCGAAGAGATCGCGACCTATCTGAGACGGTGTGTAATTATATCTGTGTATAGACATTTCATGCAGGCCCTTTTGCATCCTTGGATCGGTTATCCGATAGCCTCTTGATTAGTCCGAACAGAGCCTGCACGGATTCTCATGAACTCTTTTTCCAGATTGGTCGTTTGCCTTCGGATTCTTGAAAAAGATGGTAATAGTAGCTGATCAAAAGGCTCCTTCCACTGAGGTGCTGTCATGTTCAAGTCCTTGCTCCGGGCTTCGGCGAAGTCCGTGAACCAAGACAGTTAGGACAGTTATAGGCAAAAGAGCGCGAGTTCGCACTTCTTTCTTTTTTCGCCAAGCTGACTTTGAAACTCCAGGCACCTTTCGGTGGCTCCCGACTGAGGCGGTCGAACTACTTTAACACGCTGAGCTTTTCCGAGAAGTTGGATCAGCCGTGGCCTCAAGAAGTGACTTCGTTGGATCCGCTTCGGGGGTGTGGGATTCTCTGAGGCTGGGCCGATGCCGCTTCATGGCCAAGAGTGAGTTTGCGGATGGTGTGACAAAACTTGATGCTTGACTGCTTGACAGATTTATGTAATGTATGATGAATTATGACAGGCCGTGCGCTCATGCAGCATGCAAAGACACGAGAGATTGACAATCAAGAGGTAGGCAGAACCAAGTCTGCGAGCACAGGACCCGGCTTAGCTCATGTACAGAGAAGAGCTGTTTGGCCTTTTGCCTGGTGTTCACAGTGAGGAGTAGGAGGCATTGGATAGCGGAGAGCCGTGGAAGCATGCTGTATGCAGTATGCTGTAGGCTCCCTTGCCATTGGAACAGCGTGTGTTCAGGGTGCAAGTCTTCCCTTCCTCTTTCGCATAGGAGCACACCATGTCAGTCTAAGGATAAGAAGAAGGTGGTCATTGTCGGATGCGGCGCACAGGGTCTGAACCAGGCCCAATGCGGAGCACGCTTGCGCGAATAGCCGGCCGGGTTGTGCCTGACAAAAAAGACACGCTTAACATCGCTTAACCATTTTATCACAAGCAATTGTGTAGATGCGTCAGAAATTCTTGACAAGCTCGCAACCTGTGACAGCGAGGGCCTGAACATGCGCGATTCCGGATGTGATGTCAGCTATGCTTTGCGGAAGGACCGAATAGTTGTTGCACTCTCACTCATGTCGGCAGCATGTCGCTGCTAGAATAGAATATTCTATGCATCATGACTCTTTTTGCTCGTGGGGCCAATTCTACTTTAGTGCATGGCAACGACATCTGAGCTACTAAGCATCTAATAGCCTTCTTATTTTGAATGACTGACAACTGAGAGACCGCAGTCAAGTTGCAGCTTTAGGACGCCATCGAAAAGAAGCGACAAAGCTTTGTAAATGCCTCGCAGAATGGTTTCAAGGCCGTTTCACCAGTTCAGGTGATGCGAGCCGAGCAGCTCTTGATTGGCATCATAACTCTTCCAACGGTTCTGACGAGCTCTTGCAGTTGTTTATGAAGCTTTTGTTTCCTCTGAGCATCCAGCGCATAGCTTGAAGATTTGAAATCTTTGCTTCACACGCTGATAGACATCATATTAATTCATAATTCATATTATATAATTACATCATATTATTTACATGTGGTATCATGTTTTGAACATCGTGTGGAATACTATGATGGTATCGTGTGACACCGGGGACTTCGATGTTCCGGCAGGTCGGGACCTATGAAGAGCTCATCCCTCAAGCGGTGCCTCACTCAGCTGGGCCAGCCCGAAAGAACTACACGATGGGTGCTGGCTGCTTTGATATTTTTGTTGGTGTGCTGCTTTTGGTGTTTTACCTGCGACTCAAACGATGTGACTGGATGACTTGTGTGTGGAGAAAGTGTGTGTGAAAAGCGTGTGAAACGGACAGGACCTTGTCTGCAATCTGACGCCCGACAAGCAGCACACCTCGGTGGTTTCTGCTGCGGCTCGGTGAATACTTATATACAACATTTTGTGGCCCATTTTGGCATCCATCCAGGATGTATGTGTGAGGGAAGCAACAGAATGGGCTGAGCAACACGAGGGATCCTCAGCACCGATGTTCATGATTCTCAGATCTTTTATCGGATTTTCAGTGTCCCTTCCAGTGGGAACAGGTTGGCATTTGGGGCATTGATTGTGCCAGCGATGTGAACGTGTGAAAACGCCACGAACATCCACGAAGAATGTGAAAGGAGGGGAACACGATGCTCTCCATTTTTGCAGCTCTGCACAGGTCATGCCCATGATGAAGCAGGGTGCTTGCCTTTCTTACAGCTTCTCGGCACTGACTCGGGCTGGAGAATGCTGGACATGCAGCTGATGGACCTTGGACTTGGGAGTTGGATTTACTGGAACTTGGGGTGTTGAGGTCTAGGAGTGTCCAGGGTCATTTGAGGCCTCACATGAAAGATGAACATGCAGAATGCACGCATTCTTCGTTTTCTCTTCGTCCGGCTGAGGTCATGGTTTCAACATTGTGGAAGAGGGCATGAAAATCCGAGAGGAGTGTTTCAACAAGCGAACGTTTGTATATTTTGGTACCACGCAGATGGTCCTTCCATTTTTTCATGTTTACCAGCCTCGACTGTGGCGTGGTACTGAGATGTGAGCTGACTGAGTCATGGCCAAGCTTGCCAGGCCACTGCAAGCAACCCAACCTGACAACAGCCACGCAATGTGATTGCTGAGAGGACCTCACCGTGGTCATGGTCGCACCGAAATGCCCTGGAACAGAGGTCCGTGAGGAGAGAGGCCTGAAAGGATTGCGCACCTCACGTAGTATGTAAGACTTAGTAAGACGTAGTATTACGTAGTAAAACGGATGAGTTGATGGATGTCGCCTCCAAATCGGTCAAGTCCGCCACGCAGCACTCTAAACCACAAGCGAACGCAGCACTCTAAACGCCGTCGTCGACCGCCTCGAGGAGTACAAGCGTGGTTTCGGTGTGCCGACCCTGATTGCCGTCCACCCCGAGAACGACCCGAAGGAGCGGAGACAACGCGCCCGGATTGAGCTGGGGGGAGAGTTGGAGACCGACGGAGACCTGGACAAGACTGAAAATGGGTGACGCAGGAACAAAGCTCAGCGTGAGAGGGAAGAACTGGAGGTATTCTGAGCTTCCAAGGAACAGCTGTTTGAAGGAAGTCGTTGGATATTTAAGGAAGGAAGGAGGGAGGGAGGGAAGGAAGGAAGGAAGGTCAATGTGATACTGAGTGATGTCCTCAGGACAGTGCTCCTGTCAACCACTTAGAATCTATCAATTAAATATGATTATGAACAAATATACTCAATCAAGTCCAGAGCCAAATCATGGCTCTTCCATAGGGGTGACCGGGATCTTCCGCTGACATCAAGTTTGATAAATGCCAGCTCAGATGATTTAATGCAAAAATTATGAGTACAAATATATCAGTAAACCAGTAAACCACACCGAATACACCTTGGCATGTGCATGATCCGGTTTCATGTTAATTTGGCACACTGTGGCAAACTTCACGACTTGAAGGTGTTTTGTGATGTCTTGCTCACCCACACCCTTCAGCCTTCGGAAGGCCAGTTTGCACCTGGTGTACCCAAGGGGCCTGGGCCACCCCCGTCGATCGCCATGAGCCGCAGGGAGATGGCCTGGAGATCGCCAAGGCCTACGCAGCGGCCACCGGCGGCGACCGTTTCTTGGCCTGGTCAGAGAGCCAGCCAGGTCAAAGAGGTCTATAAAGATTAACAGCAAAGGCCATTTCATGTCGGCCAGCGATCCTGCACCAGCCTTTGAGCTTGCTGCAGCTTGCTTCCTTTCAGGTGCCGGTGTGCTGCTGAGCTCCTTTGTGGCTGAAGCGGGGTGGCTGAGATCTACAGTACCCGGTAAACCTGGTCTCCAATCGGTTTCTGTTCTTTGCCTCCAGGATGTCGGATGATTTGTCAGGTGAAGAGTGACCTTATGGGCGAGCAGACCATCCTTTGTGGAATGCTTCAGACAGGCACGCTTGAACATCGCCATACATCGAATATCATGGAATCCTTGCGATTCCTGCTTAAAGACCACTGTTTTGGTCTTCGAGGAGCAGTTTTGTCCTTCGACAAGATGGTGGCCAACGGCATTGAACCCGGCTACGCTACTTGGTGGAATTGGGTGCCAGCTGCCACCATTCAAATACGATTGCATTTGTGTGTGGGAGCTGAACCTTGGTGTGCTTCGGGCCTGCGTCATGGACGCGGACAGAGCACTCTGAATAGCGTCTCATTTGCCGACCTGATCTGCGGAAGTCAGTGCTTTTGTTTGGCCGTACCGTCATACAAGGGCAATTTTCCCCTAGATATCCCAGGATCGTTTTCATTCATTGATTCATGGAGCATACTTCGCTCTCGACACGTTGTAAGGTCACCCCGGTGTTGGCTCATTGAACCCATGCATTCCCAGGCCTCCAAGCTGATCCAGTACGGCTGGGAGACCATCACCGAGGTTTCTCGCCTTTTATCGGATTGTATATCGAGTTTGACGTCACCCCTCCATGAAGGGTGGCTGGGTATCGCAAGTGTCAAGTTTGAGGAGCACAGGCATAGGCAATCGTAGGCATAGGTGTTTTATGATTCTTCAAGGGAACATGGAGCGGCAGTTGGGACCAGTCATTTAGTTTTTCTATTTTCTTTCCAGCATGTCATGTCCAGAATGGAATGAGTTGTCGCAGGCCCTGAAGCATGGTGGCATCACTGGGATGATGAATCGTCTAGACAACCCTTCCAAGGTGATGCTTGGCTGGCACTGAGCTGTTGGTGTGAAGGAAGATGTTTTTCGCATTCTCTTCGCTGCTGGAATCGCGAATCGCCATGCCTTCCCATGACGTGATGTGAAGGAAAGTATGTTACAACATGGTATGTTTCCAACCATGTTACAACTTGGTATGTAACAACCAAAGATCTTCATGACATGTTACGAAGACGACAAAGATCTGCATGGAATGCCATCAGATGCCAGATGAATCCAGATGATCCTGCCACGGTGCCTCCCTCAAGGTCCTCGACGAGGGCTTTTGGGTGACCGACGGATCAACGATTCGATCCGATCGGGACCTGACCACGATGTCAAGGAAGTGCTTCGAGCTCGCAGCAGAGCTGAAGGAGATCATGAGGCCCTTGTATGCCAGAAGCTGAGATGAGGATGAAGGTGAAGCATGGTGAAGTTCTGCAAGAATCTGCAACATGCAGCACTTTCAAAACAGAGAACTGACCACTTTCCCAAAAAGGACGGCAAGAGAACTGACCAAGCTCTTTTGACTATGACATGTATATACATGTATGATAATGCGAATAGAATCGCCCAAGGCCAAACACCAGGACGACATCATCACAGGGTTCTTCTCTGAGACGATGATGAAGGATTGGGACAATGATGAGTCTTGGATGTCTAAGTGTTGCAGTCTTGTGACAGAAGCAGTTAGGTTGGAGGCCATCGCTATTAGGTTGGAGGCCATCGCTATTAGGTTGGAGGTCCTTGCTATTGGGTTAGAGGCCATCGCTATTAGGTTGGAGGCCATCGCTTTTTGATTGGAGGCCAACGCTATGCAACATGGCATGTTTGGCCAACTCAGGATGTGAACTTGCTCAAATGGAGACAAGAAACTGCGGAGACGGGGTTTGAGAAGACGCCTGCTGGCAACATGCAAATCAAGGACAGCTGGTTCAAGATGAGAGCTGGTTCTTGAGGCACTCCCTCCGCAGCATGTTGACAGATCCTTACATTCCCCCAAGCAACAGTTCGCAGCTCATGTTGACACGAATCGTAACCTCGTGGTTGGCGGGAGAAGCTACATTGTTGGCTTAGATGTTTGCTGAAGGAGCAGGAGTACTTTGACCATGCTGTACTGATGGTGGCGATGATCAAGGCTTTGACCTGTCATATTCCAACTACATGAATGCTTGAACCCACAATGAGAGCATTCAGCATTCAGCAAGGACTCGGTGAAACTTCAGGTGTATGAAGTTCCGGTTGTGTTTTCTTGTTGTCGGCGTTGTTAATGTCAACATCTTTGAACATCTTGTCCATTTTTGTGTTTATTATATTGTAAGATATTGTAAGTAGTTACAACGCTTTTATGCCTCTAGCCTCTAACATGTTATAACTTTTAACGATTCAACAATGTGCTGTGTGCTTACAATGTTTGTGTAAAGACAGCAGTGAACACCTTGGGTCGTCCCTCAACCGCTTGCAAAAGGCTGGTGTGGAGCTGGCATTCGAGGAGATGGTGAAGGCAGCTGGCTTCGTGCGTTCACGGTGGATTGAAATGGAAAAATGCAGGTGTTGGTTTTTATTTTACTACTATTTTCAGTATTTCTATATTATATATATATTGTTATACTGTAGATAGAATAATTGTTTGAACACTACTATTCTTTTCACCCATTTGGAGAGTATGCGGGTTGTGGAGTTCGTGGGCTTTGGAACATTCATGAGCGGTCTCATCCAACTCTGTGGATTTAATCAAGCTCCAGCTGGCTCTTTTTCGCGAAAGGAAAGGCTTGGCGAGTCTTGCGCTCTTTTGTTGAGTGATTTTTGTCCCCACAACGCATTTGTTTGCATATCAGTCACAGTCAGTTTTAGCATAGAAAATTCCAGGTTGCCATTGAATCTAGAATCTAGAACTTCGCCTTGCTGCTCGGAACTCACCGTCCCCACGGGTTCAGCAACTACGTCCCCACAGTTGTCAGTCCCGACTGACGGACTGGGTCGTAACCGGGCGGTGTCGACCTTTGCAGCATGGCAAGACCAACTTTAGCCGACCAACTTCACTCATGTCACTTCACCTTTGCGGACATCATGACATGATTGTGACATGGCTGTCACTCAGGTTGGAATGAAGCCTGAAAGTGCCTACTATGAATCCCTGCACGAGACTCCTCTCATTGCCAACACCATCGCAAGAAAGAGTCCTGGCGGAGCAAGAGTTCATCGTTTCGGATTCCTTGTGCTTTCCCGTCACATGGTCACCGTTGTTTCGGCATGGAACCAAAACGGACGGCGCTTTCTGTGTGAAAACGGTGACGTACGCCGCACGGTCATCTCCGAGCCTTTGAGGAAACTCTATGAAATGAACAAGGTGATCTCCGACACCGCCGAGTATGGCTGTTGGGATCTCAGGATGGGTGTTGGAATCAGGCTGTTTCAGCTCCAGAGGCCTTGAAATATCTTGAAATCAAAGGTCCATTTTTTTCAGTTCTTTTTTTTAGGTTCTTTTCTTTTTCCCAGAACTTGGAGCCAAGTCTGGTTCAATGTTGCTCATTACCTCATTGCCTTGCCGATAAGTGATAAGTGCCCATCGACTCAACTTGCACTGTGCACCTGTCTCCGGGAACGGACAAACCGACTTTAATCACTGAAGTAGCTTCTTGTTACTAGTAGCTTCTTGCTACTAATAGTAAGGCCAGGAGCCCCGTTCGTAGCGTCCTTGCTCCTAGTAGCGATGCCAGGAGCCCCTAGTAGCTTCTTGTTACTAGTTGATTGCACCTTTCTGGACGCTTGCACTTGATGGAGCAAGACAGCATGCGTAGCGGCGTAGCTGACCTCTGAGGCTATTTGTATACGCAGGCGTGCGTACCCCTCCTGAAGGTGCAGCAGAATCAGTCACACCTATCGTCTATCGTTGAGATATACAGCCAGTGCCGTTGGATGAGTGGCTTAAACACTGAAGTCTGCTTGTGCCGCAGGATTTCATGGCCAAGATAGACACTAGCGTCATTGGCTCCAAGTACAACAAAGGCCGGTAGGTACCGGGACTCTTGACCTCACCAGATGAACGTGAGGTAGTGTGCAGGCAGGCAGGCAGGCAGGCAGGCAGGCAGGCAGGCAGGGGTGAGTTTGGGCAATCGGCGGTAGTCTTGAGCTTGTATCGTGAAAAGACTTTGCCTCTTCTCGGAAACGGATTCATTGAGCATTGCTGATAAAGCTTAAGTGGATGCGCGTCCACTTACACAAAACAAATGTATGCCAACACCATCCTACGCGCCTTTGGACTATCCTCTCACTGACTCCTACCGAGGTGACAACGGTGTCGACAACCAGAAGCTCCTAGCGATCAATGAGGCCATCGCCTCTCACCCGGTGGAGGCGGGGCGAGCTCGGTTCGTTTTGTTCGCCATTCGGTTCAGAGTTCAGAGCGTGAAGCTCCAGCCTTCCTTTCTGCGGTCGGACCTGGTTGAAGCATGTAGAAACGATGGACTCCAGCAAGCCTGGTCTTTTTGTCCAGACACAGACACCTTTTTGTGATCAAGTAAGTAAGAAGCAGCAAAGAAGGACTTATTTAATGGAGCGTCGCCATCGAACTGCTCGAGAAACTGAATTTTCATGAAGTTTCATAGGAACAACATGTTTGCTGCGAAGTCCCAGTGCAACTGCAAAGCACATGCTTGCTAATGATTCCAAAAGAGCCACAGCATGCCTGCAGCTACAGCATGCGAAGCTGCCATGAATGTGCAGGTCGTTGGAAGGGAATTGAGAGGTCACATGACCGCCATGAAGAAGATCGCTGTGGGTGAATGAAAGCCCTTCTGAACGACCAGCCGAGAAAGGCCCGTTGAATATGGAACGTTTGTCGAGAAACACCCGCATGAGGACGAGGAGAAGAGTAGAGGAGAAAAAGACCAACGCCACGTCAAGGAACTTTCCCTGGTTTAGCATATGTCTTGATTGTATAGCAGGGATTGTGACACTGAGAGTCCATGCTTTGTAGGTGTCCTAGCTTGAAACAGTATTGACTCATGGATCATCATGGATCCTAACTTCAAGTTGCAGAGGCATCTTCTGGTTGGCCTACGCCAAAGTTGCGAGCCAATGCAGACAGCCGGCGGCTTACTGTCAGACCCTTAGATCGGAGGCAACACGACGCGGGAGGCAACACGACGACGGATGCCGTTGCAACACGGGCTGTCGCAATTGGCCATTTGCATTCTGTCGAGATATGTCGAGATAAGTTTCAGCTCGTTTCAGAGTGGATTCTTGGGACCAGGTTTGGTGCCCAAAGCGTTGTATACAACACATATAAATATATATTTATATATATATACACATACTATTTCAACATAACTTATTCTGGTTAGGATTACAGAGGCCAAATTGATCTATAGTAAATTGGGCCCGAATCCGAGAAGTTACAAAGTGCCTTTTCTTCCCTCCATGCGGCCGCCACAAAGCTCGAATCGTCGCAAGGTAGGGGGAGGCTCCACCTGGAGGGTGGCGAGCCAGCTAATGACGCTTTTTTTTCCATGCCCAGCCCAGCTGGGCGTAGAGATGAGGTCCAAGCCTCCAAGACTTGAGCCACTGAAACATAGTTGCAGGATGTTGTTGGTGGAGTGTTCTTTTAATTTGTGTCATATCTTTTCCATTCTTTTTTGGGTATCACTTTGACAGTTTCAAGATTCCTATTTCACAATGTCCGACTGGGCCGACTTAAAGAATCGACGACAGCAGAACATGTATTGATCAACTGCTGCACTTCTAAACTCTTGAGCATAGCAGGGCTCTGCCTTCGGGCGTCACAGCAGACCTTGCTCCGCTGTGGAACAAAAATCCGGGAAGGGACCGGATAGCTGCTGCGAGCTCCACTTGAGCTCGCAGCGGAGATCTCTTGTGAAGCTCCAGCTCTTCTGATTCCGCCAGAGTAATGATTAAGAATGATCAAGAGTCTAGTTTTGATATCTTTTGCTGTACAGAAGGTGCTGGTAGATTCTTGTGCGCGAACCGCAACATGGCTCCCCAGAACAAGTTTCAAGTGGCTAGAGAGCGATTGAACAAATCACTGGGTGCTTGGGAAAGTGTCTCGGCGGGCCCCCTTCAACGATTTCCATCGCCTTTCTACACACGTTGACAATTGAGGCTCATCTGTGCCAAGATTGAATCAACTGGTTGCAAATCTAAGACTTTGGCCCGTTTGCTTGCCAAAGCAAATGTGAGAATGGTTCAAGCATTTTCATGCCATGTCCCGGATGCCATGGTGTCCCGGATGCCATGTCCAGTGAACTTCTCATGAACTTCTCATGATATATCATGTATTGTGTTTTGAGTCCTGGACCCACGTCAGTGATCAAGGGTCTCAAGGTCGACCTCTCGTGGACAGAAACGTGTCAATGTCGATCATGTGGCTTGAGTAAATGGCTCGATGAGTCTTTCGCCCCTACTATATCGATATGGGATATCTTAAGTTAAATAAATTATCCACATAAACCCATCTCTACCTAAGATAACCTTGAAAGGCCGGACGTTTGCCGCTCGACTCGTGCCTGCGAGGAGTGGGACGAGCCCAGCTCGCTGGAAGAGGAGCCGGAGCGGCTCGAGCCGCTCGACCACAGTTGGACGAACCGCTGGTGCAAGCTGGTCCAACCGCTGTGACTATGACGAGTAGGGCCTGGAATGCTTTGTTTTCAAATATCTAAAGTAATAGTTTTTTTGGCCTGAAGAAGACACTGTTTGGCCTGAAGATGGAGTGTCTTCTTGACGTGTCTTCTTGACGAGTAGATTCTTGTGTTTTTTCAAGATCTTCAGGCCATCCAAGAAGACACTGTTGTTGCAGGAGAAGCTCTCGGACATGAAGGAGGAGGCCAGGCAGAGTGATGTTCCATGTTTCCTTTGTTTGAAATACGGCTACCATGTTTTTGCAATGCCTTGAATTCCCGAAAGTTCTGGCCCACATCCTCAAGCCACTCAGACTCAAGCCGGCGCTCATTTGACCTGGAGTGGACATCACCCGTTTGGCTTAGTTGCTTGCTGGTCCATCGGTGAGGGAATTCCCCAGTCCAGACACTGGAGCCAACAGCCCGTAGGGCGTGAAAACCGCATCGAACAGGGCTGGAAAACCGACACCACTGGGAGAAATCCAGTGACCGGGTCGCTAGGGGCTACTGAGTGATCACAGTACAGTAATATACAGTACTGTAATTATGATCATTATGTTTGATGATGCTCAATGGCAACGCAATCTGTGGGTGGACCTGGGATGCCAAGTCCCATAATCCTACTGGAGAGGGCTCACCTGGTGCCACGTAGCTAGGCTGGAACATGGGCGAAGCGAGTCTTTCGGTGTGTTGGGAGGCATTGACGACTGCCGACATTGCTAACCAGAGGTGATGAGACATTGGCCCAAGGTGGTCTTTACACCCCCCAAACTCCAACTCTCCGCTTGCCGCGACAAAGCTCGGTTCTTGTCGGTGACCACTGAATGCAGCAATGTTCACATCGTGTGGAGGTGCACCGTTTGCGCTTTGAGCGACAACGCTTGGCACCCCCGCCACACTTGCTGTACAGGGGTGTGAATCAGGTTTGATGTCCGGAAGCCGAATAGATCCTCAGACACCTCTCATAGAGTCAAAAGAGTGAGACTCTTTGAAAATGACCTTGCCACACAAATTCCAAGCGAATGACAAGAGTTTTGAGTGCCAAAGGATGCCAGCCTAGCATCAATTCTCCTAAAAAGGAAAGGCGTTGTGTTACTACAGCACATGCGTTTTTTTCTCAGATTTTTTTTTTGATTTTCTCCATGAGACAGGTGGAGCTGGGCAACAGCCTGAGGGCCAAACTGCGTGTGGTTGACACGCCCCAGGACTGGCATAGTCACAGCAAGGACATGTGGTCCCGTGAAAGAGGATGCATGTCAGGGATGATCCACAGGAAAGTCAAATCCTTCCAGCACCCCAAGATGAGAATCATCCTGCAGCGAAGTTCATGGACTTGATGCAAGAGATCAATATTCTTAAGCGTATCCGCTGCGAGCACACTACCGGTAGTGGATGCCCACCTGATGCCACTTGTTGCGATCTCCCCCATGAAGATTCTTCGTTGCCCGTTGGTTGATGCGTGTCGCAAGGTGCAAACCTAAGATCCGGCAGCATTGCGTTCAATCAAATCTCATTCTAGAAGTGCTTGAACCCTTAACCAGAATGCAACCAAACACAAAGACACCTTGTTGGAGTTTCAGAGGGCCTTTACGCTCCTGCCCTGGACACCAGGAACCCTTCAGTGAGCGCAAGAAGCTCCTGGAGGCCTTCGTTCTTGATCAAGGAAATCGATCATATCCTGCCCTTACACAATCGCTCAATGCCATTCTGAGTCTTTGTTGGTCCAAGGTACTGTTACAACACTTCGGAGCTGCGAGTCTTTCTCCATTTTTCTCCTGTGGCCAGTCTTTGCAGGTCGAAACAAGAACTAACAACAGAGCTACAAGGTGACACTCCATTTGGATCTAGTTGGTCCGTTGGTCAGGCCTCACAAGTTGTGCTTCTTCTTCCGAACAAACAAGAACGCAAGGCAGCTTTGAGGGCCTTGCTGAGCGAGAACCGAAAGCTTCAACAGGAACTGGAAGCCTCGGTCGGTGCCTTAAAAGCAGGTCGGCCACTCACACGGGGCAACATTCATCGTGGTCGTATGGAACAGGTGTGAATCACTCCCAGTGGAACAGGTTAGTTTTCCCATGGTTTTCTGGGGTTCACAGATAAATTCAAGTCCCAATCTTTGGCCAATTAGGCCAGTTTGGGAGAGGGCAAAAATTGGTGCTCGATTGAGGCGTCCAGGTAATTGGCCAAAACAATTGTCAAGTGTGGTTGGGTCGAAAAAGAAGCAGAAGGGCACAGGCAGTGACATCACTCATCATGCCGGTTAGGATGATCGATGATCAATGAAACCGATAGTAACATCATGTCAGCATAAGTCATTGACCATATATATATATATGTATTAATACATACATATATATATATATAATCACATGAGTAATCATATGTAACGTATATATATATATAGATAGATAGACACACCATCTTTGCAACTGCGACTGGTGTGAAGGTGCAGAGCCGCAGCTCCGGCGAAAAGGCCGCCGGCCGCGACGTCCAGCGACGCCTTGGTCGCGCACGTCGCCGGGGCACGTCCGAAGCGTTGGACGTGGAGCTGGAACTGTGAAGCGAAGGAACACATTGATGTGGAACCATGTGGAACCATGTGAGACCTGCAAGAAAAAGCGACTTGGAGTCTTGCTGAGCCTTGCTGTCTCTGGACTGCCACATGTGGAATTTGTCTCAACCTGCGACAGACTATATACAAAGGTAAGTTTTTCGCAGCAGAACCTGCTGCCAACAGCATTTCCAGAACCTGCTGTCCTCCACATTTGGTAGTCCAAACAATGTCATGCTTTTGCCAGGCGGCGGGCAGCGGTGAGTCGCAGACCTAGGAGCTTGCGTGATGAGTCAGGTACACTTTGCACCTCTCCAGGTACACTTTTGCAT